AATACATAATTAGCAAAAAAAGTCGAAATAAAGTGATTAAACAAAAATTATTATAAATATCGTAAATAACAGTTCACAAATGCATATATAGAGATATTTTTTGAAGGGGGGAAATGGTCTTCACAATTTGAAATTGATCGAACACACTGTGCGCGAATGCTCATGTAAACGCGTGCCATCTATCTTAGGATAAATGTACTTTGCAGGAGTGTATTAAAAAATTAAAAAACTTTCCAAAGCTTCATGGCAATCGTACTATGCCACAAACCTTCGCTGGAGTATATTAAACAACTTCCCAAAGTTTCACGGCAATCGGATAAACGGTGTGGTAATGCATGAAGGACACACACACACACAGACAGACAGACATACATTCATTTTTATATATATAGATTGGTTTTGAAAAGAAAATAATTAATGAGTAAATAGTTTTGTTTTTGTCACTGATTGAGCAGTTTTTTTATTGATCAATTATTTTAAAATCAAAATATTACAGCCATAATTTTTATGTATGAACTAAATGATGTTTTTTGTTTCATTGGCTCCTTCGTTATGAAAAGAAACATGTTATGAATTTTTCTTCTTAATTATCAGAAACATATATGAAAATATTTTCTAAAGAAACATAAAATATATTATTTAATATTCTCTATCTTCCAATATTTACAAATATAATGAAAGTTACAATAAGAGAATTATATTTATTTTATTAACATCTTTGTCTTCCTCTCCAGAGTACAAAGGTATAGCCTACAGATTTGTCCTGTGATGAACTCTTTATTCTGTCTATTCAAGATGATGTGTGGGGGATGAATTTCTATATACATTTTGTATGGTGATACAATGTCTGTATTTGCATTGGTCAATACAGTGCTACCAAAAGTATCTATAGATCTAACTGTACTTAAAGTCAAAAGGTTGATCTTAATTTTGTTTTTTTAATTTATAATGGGACAGGTTAGCCATAGACATTTCTTCCCTACAGTGGGGGCATGCAGATGAGACACGTGTGTGTTCTGTAATATTTCTTTTTGTTTCTCTAATTTCTAGAAATGAATATCTACACATAGATGCTCATTGGATATTCATAGAAGGGATGAATGAATAAGAATCTACTCTTTCTTATTTTCTTCTTACTATAACTATTACAGTGTGTCCAAGAAGTTACTATGCAGTGAGAAATTTGTAATGACATTGAAGTTATACATTGGTATTGCATGCAAAACTTCTAAATTGAATGCAATAATATATGTGTAACTGGTCAGCTGGTATCGAAGGGACAGCTTAAGGCAATACCATATGTATAAATTTTAATGTTGTTATGAATTTACCACTGCACAGAAAATTTTTTGGACACACTGTACTACTATTTTTTCTTACTTTGGATTATTCTCCTATTCTACATCCTTATCTTTTTCATCACGTACTCTAAACTGATTACGGTATGCAGATAAAGAAAACAAACAAAAATTAATGTTTTCAAACTCCTTTCTCCTCTTTTTTTCATGTCCATTTTCGTTTTTCCTCATGTCTCTGTTGCATTTTCTAGATTTTGTCCTCAGACTGTAGAAAGAATTTGATAAACATCAATAGAAAACATCTCAGATGCCTAATATTTGGGAAGTGCAAGAGATCAAAGAGGTGTTTGATCAGGTGGCGATAGGATCAATAGAAAACATCTCAGATGCCTAATATTTGGGAAGTGCAAGAGATCAAAGAGGTGTTTGATCAGGTGGCGATAGGATCAATAGAAAACATCTCAGATGCCTAATATTTGGGAAGTGCAAGAGATCAAAGAGGTGTTTGATCAGGTGGCGATAGGATAAAAGATTGATCCAAAAAAATAAATGTAGAAATATGAAGAGGAGGAAATGTAAGCATAGAAAAAGAATCAAGAGGAGAAAAACTCATAGAAGGGATATTCAAGATAATGATAAATTATAACATTCAAATATCCACCAAGTTTACTGAAGGTGTTCTTATAAGGTGAAATAACCTTATAAGAACATCTGCAAATAGTGTTAAAGAGCAAGAAAGATGTCTTCATTCCTAATTTCACATATGTGTCTGGTGAATGGCCTTATTATTTTTTATTTTAAAGCATGAAAAGTTAATTTTTTAGCAATTCTGAAACATACCATTCTTAAATAATACCAGAAAATACATATTTTTTTATATAGAATACTTTCTTTAAATGCTTAAATAAGTTTTAAAAAAACAAAAATAAAACGACATTTAGATGTGATCTGTGAATGGATAAAAAGTTAAAAGAAAATTTGGAATCTGTGAAAATAATCGTTTTGATGCAACATCAGATGAGATTTCTGTAATCGCATGACTATTTTCCTTAAATGATCTAGAAATGCTACAGCTTGTGATATTATTCGTGACATAATTCTAAAGTACCGATAAACATTTTCTCCTATTTCTTTACAAACTATTGCTTGGAAGAGTTTATTTACAAAATGATGAAAATTAGTGACTACGGGGTGTTGTCTATAGCTTCATGCTTTGACTTCTTGTTTATTTTTTATTGGTATCAAATTAATTAACAAGCAATATATAAAGTATCTTTGGTACTATATAAATTTAATAGTTTCAATAAATTAATGAAATAATTGTGATGTTTTTATACATATATGATGATTGTTCAAAAAACTTTTGAATCAAAATCATGGCTCATAGCTGAAATAAGTGTGATAAATATTACATTGCGCGTGAGCTCACAACTGTTGCATAAGACTACTCTCGGATATGCATTGGATTAATGCATATCTGAGAGTAGTCAAAGATTCGACGTCTTTCTGTCACATAGAAGGGTGTCAAATCAGTACAATAATTGCACAAATTCAGTTTGACGTCTCATCCGACAAGTTTTCTGCAGTATTGACTAGTTTATGCTTAGCCTAATGAAAATAAATATGATGTGAAATTGAAAGCTTATAAGATGACTTCTTATCAGATTGTTGAGAAGGAGTATGAGTTTTCTTTTAAAATCAAAGAGAAATTTTTTCTTTCAAACATTTATTACTTCTGCAACTTTAGAAATTAATTCACAAAATAAGTTTTTATTGTAGACATTTTTCACTTGCATGGAGTTTTACTTATTCTGAAGATTTTGGAATGCATTAAAGATTTACCATGTAGAATAATAAACTTTTGCTGCATTATATTAGAACTAGCAGGTGGGCCCGGTGTTGCTCAGGCAAAAGTAACGATAACTAAGATAAAGATTATTACGTTGCAGTCAACCTTACCCGTTTTCACAGAATGCAAGAATTGGGTCCTCTTGTTTCCAGACTAATTAGAGAATTTTTAGATGGATCTAAAAATATGTTCGATTTTCCGCAAAAACGAAAAAAACTGCATCTGCGTCTTGCACATCGCTTTCTCTTAACAATTCCATTGTTACTTAACACTTCCATTGTTGATGGAAGTGTTAAGCCTTAATCCTGTCTTTCTCCCCCCCCCCCCGGAGGAATTTTGAAAAATCCCTTCTTAGTGTATGTTTTCGTGACGTACCCTATCTGTGTACCAAATTTCAACTTTCAACTCCTAACCGTTTGGGCTCTGCACTTATTATTATTATCATCAACCTGTCTCGATTATATTATAGATACATCAAGTAGAGAAAAATTGCAGAATCATTTTTTGACTTTAATTTTAAGATAATGCTTTGTCTTTTCATTTAACTTTTTGTAATGTGCTGTGAACTAAGTTAAATAATTGTTCTTTTGATGGGATAAATAAGTTATATGAAAGAATTTTTCAACTTTCAAGTAGACATAGAAAAATATTTCAGTATTTTCTTTACCTTATATTCAGTTATTTATTTTAGAAAGTTTAATATCCTACGTTGATATTGCAATAAGTAATGTTTACAATCTGTTTTAGAATTTTATTATTGAAGAATTTACAAGTAACATCAAAAACTGTAATATGTACCCTGTCATTTGTGCAGTTTATAATAATTTACTTGCATTGTTTTTTGTGTTAGGGGTTAAAAATAAATATATTTCATTTCCAGAATAGGTATATAGCCCCAGTACATTTAATTTACGGTCTGCACCTGTTTATTTTTTCGATCGAAAGTATTCGGAACAGATGGAGGCAGATGCCAAATTAAAACCTAGTGCTTGTTACTGTGTAGATGCATACTACACCACGCAACATTCTGTAGCTATATTCTGGCCCCTACTCAAACTTCTATAGTAGGAATAAATGCAATTTTTTAGAAAAAGATATCAAAATTCTTTTGGTTAGTTGCACTTTATAAGCTTGTTTGTTTGCATGTTTTTTTTTTTTTTTTTTTTTTAATTTAAAAAGTAAAGTAAATGGATAAATTTTGTCTATATTAATTTATAGATTTAGAATTTTTATTAATGAAGTTATGATTTAATTGAAAGAGTAACTGATGCCAAACAAATGATTATATATCTTTTTGGCTATCACCAAGAAAATAGTTGCATGTAATCTTCTATAATAAGCAGATGAGTATTTGCAAAACATATATTATTGTTAACTGTGTTTTAGTACCCGGAATGCTAGCAGTGTCGAGAATGTCACAGAATCCGTTTGCTATCAAGACGACGACAACTCCGACACGGAGCCTTGCAGACAGCACAGATTACAAAGGTATATTTTATGTGGTTGATATATTTCGTGTATTAATTTTGAATGTGTTAATATTTGCATAGACATTAGCACTTTTTTGAAATAATCGATTTTACATCTTACATTAAAACCTGATTAGTCATTTGAGATTGTACTAGTATAACTGCCAATATTAATATAGTGGAGATGACTGAAACAGTTGTATATCATATTTATACACAGGATGTCCCAAAAGGTATCTACTGACTTTAATACATTATTAAAATGATGAAATGTGCAAATTTTAATGTAATATTACTCATGTTAGTCTCAAAAGCCATTTATATTATAGTGTTTGGTATGTTTGTCCTCAGTTTCAACAAACTTTGACTTATGGAAAGAAATTCAGATTTGAATTTCATTACAGATAGAATAATAACAAAGAAGTTTGTATTGTCAGAGTATGAGATCATCACTATTCAGAGAAAGATTCTTCAAAATGTGATGTAAGGTTTTGAGAAGAGATCAAGGAAGAGCAATTTATGGTGTCTTTAATGGCTTTTGCTGCTGCAGCTTCTGTTCTGCCACTTGTTGGAAACTGCATTCTCTCAACTTCTCTTTTATTTTAGGGTCTATGGGCACAAAAGGATGTGTAGAGATATACACACACTCAATTTTGTGTCCTTGATACACAAAATTACAGAAGGTAGTAAAAACAAAATTTATAGACTGAAGTAAGATCGAATTACATTATTATGACATGTTTGAAAATGTGCACCTCATTCAGTGCCAGCGTGAGCTCATTTAACAGTATTTGATGCCACCTTACTTGCTGGCAATTTCAGTTATAATCTTCCTCTTTACTTCATTTATTATGTGTGGATTATTTTTATACATGGCTCCTTTGAGATACCCCGGAGGAAAAAAGTGGGTGGTGACAAATCCTTTAAATATACAATGGTCGCCAAAGAATTATGACAAGAGCTGCTGAATCCATATGTGTTCTGATGAAACTTGTCTTCAACACGTGCATAAGAGCGATTGGCAAAACAATAATCAACAATGAAAATCCATTGTTGCTGGGAATAACTATTTCACTTCCTCAATGAACAAAGCTACAGTGCAGCCAATTTTATGACTTACTCAAAGGTCAGCGCTTCTATTATTAATCAGCAGTTACTGTAGTGTAATGTGGTGGGAGACATAATAAAAAATAAATTGACACAATTTACACAAACCAATATTTTGATGTAAATGACTTTTTAATCACCCTGTATAATACATATTAAATATTAAGAATTTATTTATATACTAACAAGTGAAATTTCTTCAAAATATATTTTTTAATAATTGTTTACAATTAAATGTTTACGAAATAAGGTAATATAAATTGTTGACGTATATTATTTTAAAAAAATTTGATTTGACATTAAAAATTTTTTGCAGAGGTCTTAAAAATTAAATATACAAGAATCTGCATTTTTATTTTAAATATTTACATAACTTGAAAATTGACAGAGCATAGATTAGATGAGTTTTAAATTTGATTTAACTATTGAAATGATGAAAATTTTGACTTGTATTTTAGAATCAAGGCCTCTCGTGGCACCTTCGACATTGAATTTTGTATCAGGTAATTAATTATTTTGTGCAGTAAATAGATATCTGATGAAAAATTCTGACGATTTGTATTTTATTTTATAATAGAATCGTCTTGCACTGTTTCATCTTCGGCATCAAAATTATTACTTCGTCCATCTGCCCTTGCAGCACAGGCTGAAAAGTTAAAAATTGTTAATTCTCAAAAAACAGGTATTATATTTAATTCTTTTATGACTAGAAAAGTTTAGAATAATTTTAATTGAATTTCTGTTTACAATTATGTTTTTTAAGGTTGTAAGCAAGAAGACAAAGAAAATACATTAGTAGAAAATCTTTCAGTAGGATCAAAAGAAGTAAATTCGACAAGCAATGAAAGTAATGGCAAAGTACCCAGATCTGAAATCATGGGATCGGTGTGGATGTCGGAAAGTTCTTCGAATTTATTTGTATCGAGTACCTCAAAAACCGTTCTGTGCGGCAGTGACGATTTTGCTGCGGCCAAGGCAGACGAGAGGTGAACTTTACGACAATGATTTTGCATTAAAATACACATTAGAAGTGAACTTAATAATAGTTATAAATTAATTCAATTCAGTATAATATAATATTTAGGAAAATACATTTTATATATTGTAGTATGTATATACAGTGGTACCTCAGAATACGAAATTAATCCGTTCCGAAACTGAGATCGTATCATGAAAATGTCGTAAGGTGAATCATTTTTCCCCATATGATTACATGTAAAACCAAATAATTCGTTCCAACACGAAAAACACACTCAAATTAAAGTTAAGTTGTACATTAAAAAAAAAATAACTACAGTAAGGAAAACACTAAAAAATGCATTTTGTAGTTGTAAATGTATAAATAACCATAATAGAATAATAATTGATTTTAAAAAAATGTAGTTTTATTTGCACTTTACCTTCAAGGATAGACAACGGTGGAGGTGTAAACTGGTGGCGGAAGACAGGGAGAAGGAAAATGATACTAAAACTTAACTTACATAACATAATGTAACAATAACTTAAAAATAACTTAGAAAAGATAAAAAAATTAGTGTTGTTTTATACTTTTTTTTTTTAATTTTTATTCACTGGTTTTTGCTTTCTTTCCTTCACTTCCACCAGCACTTTCACTGGATAGAGGTCACTTGGTAAAATATCTGTCCAAAGAGGTTTGGCTTTGCCTACTTTTTAAAATGTTTCTAAAATGACTTGGGCAAATGTCATTACTCCGAGCAGCAATACGGCCAGTGTGAACCTTGTCAGAATGTTTCTTTTCAATAAAATCAGTCACTTTCTGATAATACACCAAGATTTCCTATATCGAGTGAGATCCTTCCATGATGAAGCAAATACGTGGACTGAAGTGAACAGAAGTGAATAAAAAATGGCGCTGCAAACTAATGTAACATCGTATGGTGAGTTTTTGTTCGTATCGTGGAGCAAAGATACGTTCGAATTTCATGTTATATCCTGAAAATTTCGTATGATGGGGCGTTCGTATCCTGAGGTACCACTGTACATGAATGTACATAAATACATTCTGAAAATGTATATATTTTATTTTACAGGACAGGATTTATATTTGGACAAAATTTACACGAAAGAGTATTGGTGAGTTTTAACTCTGCTCTGTGCATAAATATAAGCCGTATCACAATTTCTTATGCATTTAATTTTTTAAAATCATAATTTTTAATGCAAAATATTTAATTTTAAAACTTAAAAATAACTTATTTAAAAAACAGTAGACTCTGCTTATTGTTGTCAGTCAGTTAATGTATCAGAATTAACATGTTTCAAACATGTAAGTTAATAATAGTTAAGGTGGCTTCACACGTTTAGTATTCACCAAATGCTGAGCAAACATTTGGCTGGTACCAAGGAACATTGATGATTTACTCATGACTTTGCTTGACAGATACTCAGTATATGCCCTTTTCTGCTCCTTGTTGGTTTGTTGTGTCAAATCACATCAAAGGCAACAAACTCAGACATTCATAATTTCCACAAGGAACTGATGTTTGTCAAATTATTGTGTGTTTGTGTATACACCAGGGGTCGACAACCTTAAATACTCAAAGAACTCGTTTTTCACAGAAAAGAAAACATTGCAACTCACAAAACCCTTTTGACATCTAAAATGAATATAACATTTCATATATCGTTTTTTTACCTTTATACTAAGCTTTTAAAAAACTTGTGTGTTGCATTTATGAAATAAATAAACTACTAAAGAGAAAACAAAATTTTATTTCTGCATTCAATAAAACATTTTGAACTCTGAAAAAAGTTGCTGGGTTGAATGTTACTTTCAAATAAAATCTTCTATTTCTGTGTAATAGCAACCATACCTTCTTCATTAAAATCCTCTATGTTTATTAGAGTCCATGTACTATTTATGAAATAAAAAATAAACTTAATCACCTGTAGCAAACAGAAAATGCAGTCTGCTTCTGTGTGTGGTCATCCTTTTATTGTATGAGTGTGCAGTCAGCTGACAACCTGAATAAAGAAAAACACTATTTCACTGAACAATGTAAAATATATATTTGCAAAATAATACTGAGTAAATATTTATTTTGCTTGATTAATGTGACTTTTGCTCTTGGATCTCAGCACCTTCCTTTGCACTGCTTCCTTTTCCCAGAAGAGGTGTGTTCAAGTGCACTGTCATAGGGTTTTGTGTTCCTATTATACTCGGTGCCTCATCAGTAGCCATGGGTGGTGTTTATTTCTTTGGCTCTCAAACAATCCATGACAGCTTTACAGATGTCATCCCCATGTCTGGCCTTTCAGTGGTATCAAACTCAATCATTTCTTCCTGTGTCCCAGTAAAGTTCACATATTGGCAGAATAGCACTATTTGTTCAATATAGCTTTTGTCTTTGGACTCATCACAGGCAATTGAGTATACCACAGCTGAATTAATGTCTTTAATTTGCTGTCATTGTTATGGTTCTCTCTTTGGCAGTCTTCACAGAGAGAGGCATATCTCTGATTTTCTGCACAATTTTGCTATTGTTTTTAAAGTCGGCAAATAAATGTTCTGAAATCTTGATGAATGATTCTTTTATATATTCTCTGTCTGTGAACAGTTACCTGCATGTATTTTCTGGGTGGCCAAAAACTGGCATATGTAGTTGAATTTGCAGACTGGATCTATTCAATGTTACAAGAGCACAACAATAATTTCAAATATAGAATTACGTTAACAAACTAAAATTTAATAAATTTAAATTAAATATTTGCTATTATTTTCTAATGCCACAAGGAGCCGCAGCAGATGGATTAAAGTACCACATGTGGCTCTGGAGCCACGGGTGCCTGTCCCTGATGTATACATATGTGCTTGTCACACGACAAATACTTTAGAAATCAGCAAATTTACAGATGTATGGAGCTGCCTTTATAACAAATGCATTTTTAAGTTGTACCTATTTTAATTGTTTAACTTAGTCTGTTAAAGTCAGTCAAAAAAGCAGAATTTCTGCTATTTGTAATCATATTTACTTGCATTATTATCATTGTTATCATCATTGGTTATTACTGAGCCCTAATATAACAGTAAGCAAATTCTATTGTATATATGAAAATGAATTATAACTTAATTTGAATTTATCTAAAATATGTAAATTTATTTTAAAATGATAAAAATTTAACCAACAGATTTTAAATTTTACATTTAAATTATTTACAATATTTTGAAGTTAAAGTTTGCACTTTTTCCACTGAATTTTCATTTATAATTAAATTTATTAATTGGATTTGTCTTAAATTTAATTATTTGGTATTGCAATTTATGATAATATATTAATTAGAAATATTATGTTATAGTATAAGAAGTGTTTATAAAAAGTTATATAGAATTTTCAATAAATAATAATAATTTATTTAATAGATAGCTTTAGCCTGCAATTTAAATATGGTATGTAACATTCTGTTAAGAAATGAGAAATATGTCATTGAATACAGATACTTTTAGTATACTGTTACTAAAATTTAATAAATGTATAGCAAAACAAAAATGTATGTTTTTTTTTTTTAATTAGTAACGTGAGGAGAAAGTAAAGTTAAGGATTAATTTAATTTAATGTCTTAAAAATATTTGATATTCTCAAATAAAAATAAATGATTTTAAAATTACCTGAAAATACTGTGTTTTCCAAAGAAAATGCTACCATTTTAAATTACTGTAATTATGTTAATTATTATCCAAGGACATTGTAATATATATTAAAACATTGAAAACTGTTTAAGTTTTACATTTGCATATGCCTCGTGTCACGTGGCACACATCCAACAGATACTCAAATTCCTCCTGAACTCACTACATGTTTGTTGTCACTCCTTCCATAGTATCCACAAATCTACAGCATCACAGCTGTATTTTGCAGCTCCTGGAGATTACTTGTGTTGCACAATGATGAGTGATTCCAATTTTGTGAACTACAAAACATGAAATTCATTGTTGCAGAGTCGCCATTTTCATTTATGGCACTTCCTAGAAGCAGTAGATGCAGAACGTTTGATTGCAGATGGGAGATGAAACTTGGAAGTAATTCTATCAATTGGTATATGTCATATATTTTTCAGATGATAATTAACCTAATTATAGTAATTTAAAATGGTAGCATTCTATTTGGAAGACCCCATATTTGAGTCATCAGAATCACTTTAAAAATAAATAATTTCAGCTCTGCTCAAAGAAAGATCCAGATATAACGCCTAACATTCCGTCTTTCCCTTTCAATTTTTTTAAGCAGAATTATGATGATGCTCCATCTCAATCTCCCTCACCAGCAAATACAAATCTGTCTTTTCAAGAAGCAGCTACCCAGCAGGATGATGATGATAAAGGAGGTAAATAAAATTATTGGTGTAAATTACTGAACAAGTACTCCATGCATTAATTTTTAACATTAAACAACTTGTAGGTAAATTTGCCAAAAGTCTTTCTGAGTCCGCAGAAGAATATCAGTCGAGACAAGTGAAAAGGAAATTTGATGAAGTTACTGTTATCACAGGCGAAGAAGACGAGTCTAATGTATTACAGGTTAATAGAATTCTTTTTTCATTGACATGTTTCTTCTGTATCAAAGTATAATTGTAATGAAAATAATTATTAATGTATTAATTTATATTTTAGATAAATTGTAAATTATTTGCATTCAACAAATTGGCGAGCACATGGCAAGAACGAGGTCGAGGAATACTTAGACTGAATGATAGAGAAGTAGATGGAACTTTACACTCTAGAGTTGGTAAAAAAACAATTTATTTTCTTTATGCTGTCTTTAAAAACTAATCTAAACATGTTTATTCTACTTCTGATCAATCTTTCTTTCCCTGATGGAAAACATTTTTTCCAATTAGTGTATGTTAACATCGATAATGTTCCTAAGTTTTTAGATATGTAACTCTAATGCTGTAATGTTGAATTTCTGATCATCTCTATAAACATGTCATATTGTAATCCAATTAATAGCTTTCAAAATAAGTGACAAACACATGAATTGCTGGTTTAAATCCTGCTTCAGACATGTGTTTGTTATTTTTTAATGAAGATTGTGACTACAAGCATTTCCTAAAAACAACAAAGATTTTTGACATTGTATTTACACTAAATTAAAAATAAAGAAAGAACATTTTATAATTTAACCAAAAAACTGCTTTTGTATAATAATAAATAACAATAATCTTAGATGCAAATGGAGTATGTTAAAAAATAAAAATACTAAAATTTCACAAATATTTTATATATATATATATATTTATTTATTTATTTTGTTTTTATTCATAGTGATGCGAACTCAAGGCAGTTTGAGGGTGGTTCTCAATACTAAAGTATGGTCGGCAATGTCTGTGGAAAAATCTAGTCCCAAGACCGTTCGTCTCTCTGCAATGGACACCGATGGAGTTAAAGTATTTCTTATCATGGTACGTATGGGTTTTAATATAAATTTTAATGGTAGTTGATGATGATTATAGTAAATACTTGTTTATGTTTGCTTTATTATATTTTAAGTTAAAAATATTTGATTTATATTAAACTCATTACTGCATTGGAACTGAATTTATGCAAATGTGTGTCTTAAAAACAGTCAATTAAAGTAATGAGTTCAGTAATTATTTAATTACGGTTTTATCAAACGTTTGTGATAGATTGTACGAATATGATACTATCATATATATGACATCGTTTAACAGCATGGAAATATATTTTCATCGTGTTTTATATTCAAAATTTAAAATTTGAACATAATATAATTAAATATAATGTTTTTTACAAAATTAATTCATTTATTTCTCCATTTATAAAATTATTTGGAAAACATTAGCATTTTATTAACATTAAGACATTTTAATGTTTCAAAATCGTATTTCTAAAAAAATTCCTTTTTTCTAACTGCTCCATTAGTCTCTATAGTGTTGTGTAATGTTTATACAGAGTGTATCAGTACAGTGGTTATAAACTTTCAGGAGAGATAGAGTACACCTAGATGATGGGAAATCACATAGCAATGCATGGTCAGAAACGCTTTCCTGGTGTGGTAGTGACGACACAAAACACAAGAAAGGAAGGACATGAACAGGGTGAGAAAACATGTTTATTATTCTTGCACACTTGCAATGTCATCTGATGTTTCAGTTTATGTAGCAACATCTATCGCATACACCAGCGAAACACATCCCAGCATTTTTGCTGTACTTAGAATAATATACATGTTTTCTCACCCTGTTCGTGTCCTTCCTTTCTTGTGTTTTGTATCGTCACTACCGCGCCAGGAAAGTGTTTCCGACCATGTGTTGCTATGTGATTTCCCATCGTCTAGGTGTACTCTATCTCTCCTGAAAGTTTGTAACCGTTGTACTGACACACCCTGTAGATTGAAAAGGTCTGTATTGAATTGTTTTTGTGGGAAAGTAATTGGCTAATCATTAAAATGGATAGAAAAAGAAAAAAAAGGCAAAACACAGAAAATCTTACTTCAGTTATTGATATTTAACATACAGAAACGGTGTGATAATTCAGTAGCTACTTTAGAATCTGAGCCTGTCAAATTCCCTGCAGCTAAGGAAAGTAGGTCACTAACAGTCTAGAAACAATCTTACATAAAATGGCAAACTGTCCTGAGAGTAAACACCCCCAAATAAAAGCTCTGTCACTGCTTACATCATTAACATACATTTCAACTTCTGACAATGATTGTAATGAGTATTTAATTTGTACAAATTAACCTTTATTACTCATAACCAATAAGTAAACAAAGCAGTAACATACACTTAACACTATAAAACACTGCTATATAAATATGTATGGCTGGTCATACATTTTTATATAAATTGAATTTTAGATTAAAAATGTTATTTATTTTTGTAACTGAATCATATTATAAATTGAAGGAAACTGAAGACAGATCCAAAATGTATCTTGAGAAGGTTGTATTTAGAAGGTCCTTTAGAGGAAGTAAATCAATCTTCCTTTACCTCTAGGTGTAGGTTCTTCCTACAGAAAGAAAGTACACTTTAATATTTGATTTAACTGGATTTAGAAGATTAAGATATTAAATAACAAAACCAACTGTTGTCGTATGTCATAGGGCTATATAACGCTACATTAATAGTAAATTACCAAACAATTTAATCCTAGAGGGAAGCATTAGGTACCATCTCATAATAAATTTAATGATTATAATGGAGATGGTGCCTAATGCCTCCCTCTAGGGTCAAATTGTTTGCAAATTTATTATTAATGTAGCCCTTATATAGCCTGATAGCATTTGGCAGTGGTTGGCTTTATTAATATAATGTAATGGATTTTCGGAGTGTTGTTTGAGTAAGATATTGTTTTCTTAACATTATGTAAATGACCATTTTAATACTTTAAATTGGAAATGCCACCACATCTATCAAAGATAACGCTTTAGTTTAGAATATAAACAAAATCTCTACCTATTAATTGAGATTTTCAGCTTTACTCTTGGAAAATCAGTGTTTGTAATGAAGAATGTGAAACATTTGTACAGTGTTATGTATGAGTATTTGTTAATGAACAAGGTTTTTTTAAAAATGCATTAAACATTAGAAGGTAAATTTTCTTTGCTAAATTTTGTCATATTTCAAAATATACAGAAAATAAATAAAACAGACAAATTATGTCCTTAAAAATATCATAATTTTATAAACATTTTATAGGCACATCCTAAAGATACAGAACAGTTATTTAATGCTTTGGATTGGAGAGTCACAATTTTGAAATCTCAAGAAGACATGGGAAAGAAAAATTCCGGTCTGGCGGTCATAGAGGAAGCAACCAGCTCCACTCCTCTCGAAGAGTTATGTCGACAGGAAGACAATGGCGACTCAAGAAAGAGAGTCTGCCTTTCCTCTTCTAATGAGGGAGGAGCTGACAGCAGCTCAGAGATATCATTTTCCAGAGGATCAGAATCCGACGTCGACAATCCGGCAGACTCCACAGACACAAGTGTGGGCTCGGTTGGAGTGAGTGACAGAAGCAATCCCGACAGCAGAAACAACAAATCAAATAGTTAAAAATAAGTATTGCCAAGTTTTAAAACAATTCAGACTGCTGCAAGAAAAAAAAATAAATAAAATGATGTGTTTAAGACTGTGAAGAAATTCCTTTTTTTTGAGGAATTATATATTAACTTACATTAGCGATCGCCTTTCCCCTTCTTTTTTTATTTCCCCCCTTTCTCGCAACACTAGAATCAGTTGGAATTCAGTGCATATTGCCATACGATACGTTTCTACGTTATTCATCGTGTCATGTGAGTGTGATTGAAGTGTGACCTCAGCTCTCCGTTTTTATTTCGAATCGTTCTCTTGTGAATACAAGATTAATTTAGTCGCTGTGGATAACTCAACACGATACCTCACATGTAATTAACATAAATAAAACATCATGTTGGTGTTTACGTGACCATGGTCACGGTAAAATAAGCATTTTAATGCTCTCTTTACTGAACTGATGTTTGGAAAAAGCTGTGTACAGTAAATGTTAAGTTTTGTTTTATTATTATTATTATTATTTTATTATTTTTTTTTTTTCTTTTAATCAGTACGACCATGTCGTGACAAATCTTGTCACGTTCACTCTGTAATCTTTCTCCCCATTTAAAAAAAAATCATCATAATATTTGAAACAATGTTAAATAAATTACCATGTATATTAAATTTTGAATTTTGTCATACTTTATTACATTAAAAATGAAGAAGACAATGCGGTGCCTACGCCGTCTCATGGCAAAGTACCCTCTTTGGTTTTGTTCAGGATACGATTTTATGTGGTAGTTTTTATTATAAAGTAAGCCACTATGTAAATTAATCAATTTTAAATTTAAAAAAAAGAAGTATAACCAAGAGTTTCTTATCAAAGGAATATCGAGTTTGTATGAATGTAATGTTTACATAGTTTCTTACATTATAAAGATGTACAAATTAGCTGTACTAGTGAGAAGGGAAAATAATTATACTAAATTTTAAAATTTAGGAAATTCTGTCTTGTATTTCTATTAAAATGTTTTTCGTATATTGATTTATGTTAATTTTTTTTTTATTAAATCAGAAGTATAATAAATCGATTCTTGATAATTATTGTTAATATCTTGCTGCAGTATCTTGTTTGGGGGCATACAATTGAATTTGATGGGCTTTCCTGCTATTGCTGTGGCAAGAAACTGCCTTCTAATGCCACGAATGTTGCCTTTAGGTACACGTGCGAGAATTTAGCTTCGATACTATGATAATTTATATCCATAGACTTTATTCCATAATGCATCCGAACAGTTATGTGATACATCTTCCATAACAATGTAGTAACTTAGGTCGATGGATTCGAATGTCAAATTTGAAAAGTAAATTAATTTATAAATTCATATCAGAGGCTTTATTGTTGACATAATTGTTAAATAGTTTTCTGGATGATTTATATTGCCATAAAATAAAATCTATATGCAGTATCTAAATGGTTCATTGTTGCACATTAAAACATTTATCAAATTTTGGGACATTTTTTTGGAATTTCAAGAATGCAATTTAAGTGGAAAAAATATATGTTGTTCTTACATTTTGGACATAAAAAAAAAAGAGATGAATTTTTATTCTACTTTGCATAAAGTAAATGAACAGATTAACAAATTGCATATATATTGCAGGAACAATAGATGATTTTCCTATATAATAGTATGCAACACGGTTGTTACTTCTATGCTATGGAAGAAATAGAATCGAGTAACGGCAATATGAGATCCGTCAAACTGGAAGGTTATATGTAATGGTCTTATAAATCAATCGGCCATAAAAAATGCTTTAGTTTGTATCTTGGGCATAATGTACCAAGAGTAATCAAAATAGTAAGGATAGTTTATTTTTCTATATGAAGTTATAGATTTCTTCCTTTTTTTTACATATGATTTGAGAAGTAATTGCATGTTATAGATAATTAATCATGAGGTTTGTGTGCGTGTGTGATTTTTTTACGGATTACATCAAACTTACAATCTGTTAGATTATGAAATACTAAGCATAAAGCCTATGTGAAAATTTAGGAAATTTAAGAATAATTTGAAACAAATATTTAATAAAATTCACTTGATTATATTTTATGGTTTATTATTATTAAAGAATCGATATGATATACATAAACCTTTAAGGCTAAATGGAAGAATTAGATCATTTCATGATATTTTGGATTCTCTTCTGAAAGCATAGTAGTTCTAAAAACACTTGATACTTCTTATCATGTAAACTGTCAAAAGAAAAAATATTAGATTGTATAAAGCTAAAAAATTTCTTAATCTACAAGTTATAAATGTTAGAAAAGTACAGGTGCAGCTTTATAAATGGAATCAACGTTAGCATTTGTATTCTATGATGGGATTCCCAATCTGGTTGCTTACAACCTTTTACTTTTAGCAGATAGGGGATAAAACCAGGGCTACTCAAAGGTATTGCCTGGAGTGAAAATGGAGAATGAAGATGATTTGGAGGAAGAGGTTGAAGGTGAAATTATAAAGAAGATAGGAAAGGGGATGAAACAGAAGTCCCACGGGTGCCTGCATTGCTTTTATTTAAAACAAAATTAAAAATTTACATTCAGTTGTAGAAAAAAACGTGTTAAAAAAAAAGCTGACAACATAGTAGTTAAGAATTACAGAAGCACCCTAAATGATGGGCATGCAAACATAATATATTTACAATACCCATTGTACTTGCAACGGAGGAACTGACAAAGTTCCTTATGACAAGACAATAAACAATATGTACTGTACAAACAGAATAGATGCCCTGTTACGGAAGTGTCATAATTCCTTACAAAGTGATTACACAAAACATTGCAACTTGCAATGGGGACCAAAAATCCTTACTAAGGAAGAAAATAAACAGATATACACATGGTAATAAAATACAACACATACTAAACAAAAGTGCCCTAGATGGAGGACTTGCGACTGCTATGAATACAAAACACATTGCAATTTGCAATGGGGAGACCGACAATTTCTTGTGAAGCAGGTTGTCCGACCTTGACATTTGCAAGAGTCCTGCCTGGTCTTAGTAGCTGATAATATTGAAAGCCTGAGTTGAATGCAGGAAGAAGCACCATTGAAGATGTAGGCTTAGTCTGTGGAGAGGAAGTTTGCATTGAGTGCTTTATGGAACACCATTGACAACACCAAGTATGTATATTCAGTCTGTCAAAGTGAAATCCCCATTTAGTACTTTTGTAGAGTATTTTTGAAGACCAAGAATGTATGTTTAGTTTCTGGGAGTGAAGGTATCGTTGAGTGCTCCTAAAGAATCGAAGACATTTAGTTCTATATATAATAAGTCTTTATTGTTGATGAAGGTACTCAAAGGACATAGCCAGTTCCATTCCGAGGAAAGGACCTTTTGTAAAAGTGGAACTCTTTGAGTATCAAAAGTAGCACAGTCAAAAGTAAGATGATGAACATCTTGCGGGGTTTGTCCGTCACAATTACAGTAGTTACTGTCTTGAAGATGGAACCTACAGAGTTATCTCCATAGGTTTCCATGGCCCATGAGGAATTGGGAAGTGGTATGGTTGATTTCAGGTGTTTCTATGTAAGTCTTTCCTGGATTTTTTGTATAAAAGGTTAGCCTCCCTGTTTTTTCTTCCTCCCAGTCTCTCTGCTAAAGAGCAATAACTGTGTTGTGTAAAACATTTTATAGAGTGATCTTAGCTATTCCATTAAAGCTAACTGGAATTTCAGAGTCTGCAGCTTGCTTTGCAAGGTGATCAGCTTCCTTGTTTCCTTTTAGTCTGTTATGTCCTTTAACCCAGGTTAATGCATAATGATTATTCTTACAATCACTTGATTTATCTGGGGGTGAATAAATTAATAAAGGGGTTGGTGGACAAATTTACTTTGTATTTTACTAAACTTAATAATATAATATAATGAAAAAAAACCTACAAATAGGAGTTAACAGTACTTTATCAGATTGTTTCCAACTGTTTAAGAAGGGGTTGGGAACTTGTGTCAACAGTAGTTCTTTATCAACGAATAATCTTGTAATTTTTACAGGCATATTGTTATACAAACATAGACATGAAGTTTATAACTTTAAAGCCACTAGTTTTAAAATGCTAAAGTTCCATGTGTCTATCGTCACAAATTTGTTCTATATGTCATGGGAAATTAAAAGCATTACAACAACTAGTATATAAATACGGTCATCTCTCAGTATCAGCAGATTGGTTTGGAGATCTTCTAGTCTCTTGTAAAAAATATCATAGTATTTGTGTACATGGACTCCTATATAAGAGGACCGTTTCTTTGAACCTCCGATGGTCCATAAAGCAAAGGCAAGTGTAAGTAAAATGAATTTACAGTAGAGCATCTATTTTCCAAAACGTCAATCATCCGAAAGAATTCCAGTCAGCAAATTTAAATTTTCGCCAGTGCTGTGGCGCTTCAATCTTTGGCTACTCAAATATTTTACGTTTTTGATACTAATTAACATCTGAAGTATAATTTTTTATTGTTTTTATATTTTTCAATATATTTATTTTGTTTGTACAAAATAAAAAAATAATTTTTAAAGATACAATAGTCTTTGTTAGGCTTAACATCAACGAAAATTCAACGCGAAGCGACATGCAACGGATAAAAATTTTAACATCGGATATGTTAAACTATTTTTTCGTACATAAATCGGTTATCCGAAATATCAGTTATATGAACAACCCTAGTCCCCAATTGATTCAGAAAATCGACGCTCTACTGTATTACCAAAAGTTAGGTACAGTACAGACACGGTTACTTTCGATATAATCATTGTGAAGATTGAGGAATGAGTGTCATATCTGTGGACGAGCTTTTCCATCCCCTTATCATAGAATGTTGCCACCAATGACTGAGATGGGCCCTAACGTTGTTTTGAAGATTGTCGTTAGTCTCGAACCTCTGCCCTCCTAGCCACTTTTTCTGTTCGGAAAAGAGGTGGAAGTCACTCGGCACTAAATCAGGACTATATGCTGGGTGTTTAAAGGTGGTGAAGACTTCCACCCAGCTTGGAACTTTTTAATGTGTGAAGACTTCCACCTCTTTCCTGAACTGGAAATGCGGCTAGCAGGGCAGAGATTTGAAACTAATGTTGTTAAGGCAATCTCAATTCACTGGTGGCAACATTCTATGACAAGGGGATGGAAAAAGCTCATCCATAGATATGACAAATTCCCCAATCTTCATGGTGATTATGTCAAAAAGTAACCATGTTTGTACCTAACTTTTGTTAATAAATTCATTTTGTTATTTACACTTGTCTTTGTTTTATGGACCATCGGAGCTTGAAAAAAACAGCCTACATACTTTAAATCATGTCTATCGTTCACCATAACTTTGGGCTATTACCAAAACTAAGCAGCCTTTTAACAAATTTATTATTATAAAAATAATTTTATAATGGTAATTATTATATAAGAGTATAATATGTTATGTTCACCTTCGGACAATATTTTGTCGTGAATTATTTACTAGGTTTGGTGAACAACAGCTTTCACAACAATCTAAAGTTAAAGCAAACTTTATATAAATGCTAATACAATATAATGCTAAGTAATTATATGTAAACAGTTGTTACACTGTATTGTTTAAGGAATAATGACAAGAAAAAATGTCCTACTCGTTATTACAAAAGCCTACAATTAT